TTGCTACATCAGTTATAACATCAACTACATTAGTATTTAATATACCTACCCTAATTTGTGCCTCTCTTAATTGTTTATATTTTTTTTCTCCACTCATAAGTGAAATCAATGCTTTATATTTAGTAATTAGATTCTGCACAACTACCAAGCATGTCTCAACACTTAGCTGCAAAGTATGTATAGTACAAAAAATATTAGCAATTGGTATTGATAAAGAAAGACTTGCTAAAAGCTGTATAATAGCTACTTTAATATTTGAGCTATTGTCTGTAGTTATACTTAATATTTTACTTCTTTTTATATTAAATTCTTCAAGCAAAGGCTCAATAGAATTAACAATATTATCTGCAGTTTTATATACACCTATTTTAACTATGCTTAATGTAAGATCATACATACAGAATTCATCAGAAATTTAGTAACAAGTTACATCTAAGTAAGAGTTATGTGCTCGAGATGTCCATAAATCAAATGTAAGTGATATTGTATTAGCTTAACTATAAATCATATTTTTAATTACTTGAGTTGTATAGTTAGTTCTATTTGCTATTTTATTTTTAAGTGTATTTACACAAGGTGGTTTATATCTAGGATCAAAAGAATATAAAAAGGTACGAAAATTTTGATTTTCAACCAAATATAATAGAAGCATACAGGAAATAAAGAGTCTAAGAACATCTTGTATAAGTTTTTGTTGCTTTGCTTGTGGATAAGGTTTTAATAACATGGTTTTCAGTGTTTGTTAAGAAAACATTTTGAGTTCATCGGCTATCTTATTATGAAGTAACATTTTTGTAATGTGATATATGTCTCTAAGATGATTAATCATATTTGTAGTTGAACCATATTATAAATATTCTGTTTGACAATCTTTGATCGAGTATTTAAGCTTAGTTGTTGATTTGTCTTCAGGCTTATGACCAGGTTGCTTATAAAAGGTAAAAAAAAATTTTATAAAATTATTTTTATTGAAAAGTTTTGCCCTTTTAGCAATATGATTATCAGTAATTTCATTAGATAAGAGTGCTAGTAATTAAGAATGTGAAATTAGAATATTATCATCATCTTGGTCAAGTGAGTCTGTCTGTTGATTGGTTATAAACGAACTATCAGAAGTTGAATTATAAGTAGAAAAATTATAATTGTAATATTCATTCATGTTGCAAGAATAAAGTGAAGAATTAAAGAATCAGTAAAGAAAATTTATTACTTTATATATACAATCGTAGTTTATAATTATTAACAATTTTTTTAATAGTTTAAGGCTAACTTTTCAAGATAACTAAAAAATTTAATTATACTTCTAAAAAACAAAAAAATAAGAATATCGAATTTATAAACAATATTAACATATAGATATGCATACAGTATATCCAGAATTGCGATCTGCATGATATTTCAAAACAAAGAACAAACTTCTAGCCTGAGTTATTATTAAATATTCACTTTTATGAGGTTTAACTCTTGAATAATGCCCATAATCATTTCGTATTTTGTAGCTTATCCCTTAAATTGTAACACAGGCAAATTTGCCTGTGTTTTTATTAAAAAGTTTAATTTTTTTAATAAAAACTT